ACCAGCACGGAGCTAAGGTCCCGAGGTGTAGCATTGCCGGTGCTATGACCATAAACCTTATTTGGGAGACTATGTGGAGCATGGCATGTCTGTCAAAAGTGAAAATCTTCATATGGAGGACCCTTCAAGGTACCCTGCCGTGTTGTGCTGCTCTCGCTGATACGTATATGAAGGTTAATACAAAATGCCCGGCATGTGAAGGAGTTGAGAGTGTCAAACAAATTTTATTCCAATGTCAAAAGGCAAAACAAATCTGGTCTGGATGGGCCCGAGGGATGTTATTAAGCATGCCTGCACTATTGATCTTGCGGAGAAGCAGTGTTAGAATATCTCCTATCTATCCCTACAAATGAAGCTACAGTCCTTGGGTAGGGCAGTTCAAACCAAATTGTGGTTGTGGCGGCTAGGTATTTTTGGTGGGAAAGGATGAAATTTGTTCATGGTGAGCAGACACGACAATCAGCGCAAATTATTTTGGCAATCCATGCGCTAGTATCGACTTTTTCTGCGACATGCTCCCTTTCTGCCAAAATTACAAGAAATGGTTGGACTAGACCGATTAATGGATATGTGAATTCAATGTAGATGCCTCTTGTGATTCACATACTCTCGAAGGTATAGTGGGTGAAGTAATTTGTTTTCTTGGCGGCAAGGAATAATCAATCTGGTGGATGTGTTGATGTTCATACGGCAGAATCTTTGCCCTTACGATATGGTCTGAATCTAGCCCAAACCTGGTGGATGTGTTGATGCTCAAAGTTGATCGTTAACTCAGATAATTCTGATGTTAAAACTTGCAATGCAAGAAGGTGGCAATTTCTCCGGGTTCGCGGCTGCCATTATTGATGGCTGTTATCATATGGCTCGGGATTTTTCTCATGTTCGTTGTGAGCATTGTCATAGAAAAGGTAATAGCGTAGCTCATGAATTTGCTATAATTGCTAAATTTCTACACCTAGTACCTGGTTTGATGAGCCTCCTAGTGCCATCACCCCTATGCTTGTATGATGCTACTTTGATTACTGCTCCCTCCGTGCTAAAAGAAACCACAACACTTATATTAGGACAGAGGGAGTACTTAATAAAGGGGTATTGAGATGTCAAAAGAAAAACAGCCATTATTGTGGTGTATTCTCTTTGTGACCGGCTAGCGACCGACGAGGTGACTAAATTTTCAATTTGGTCAGTCAATTTTTTATTATTCAGTCTGGGATTAAAGGGCCGAGATTAAGAATCACGTGAGGGGACTACTAAAGGCATGCATGCGATTGGGAATAAAGTGAATAGTACATACACACATACAAGCGAGCCTGTGCTCGTTGTGTTTGACGTAACAGCTTTATGAAACACAACTTTCACTGTTTTTATTACGCTAACAAGCATTATTTCACTATTTTCTAAAAAACAAACGTCACAACTAAGAAACACTTCCATTTTCTTAACTTTACTGATTTAAGATGGCCCTTTAACAATGATGAAAGACCGCCCTTGTGCAAAGCATAGTCAAATTAAAAATTACATACAATTTAAACAGAAATTGCATGTTTTTATATAAGCTAGAATAAGCATATAAAAATGAAGTTTCCTAAGAAGGAAAGAATTAGTTGCATTTGTATTACCATTAAAGAAGAAATAAAATGAAATAAAAAGTAAAGCAAAATTAAAATAATTAAGTTTTTAAGAAAGAATGATTTAGTGACATTGGTATTACCTTTTAAGAAGAAATAAAATGAGAAAAGAAAACGAAGAAAAAGGGCTGGTTGCCTAAAATTCTAATACTTGTGCTGGTGACACCTTCAAAAATAAATGAAAAAAGTGAAGTTTTCTATGAAAGAGTGAATTTGTAGAATTGGTAGTACCCTTAAAAGGAAAGAAAATATAAAAATAAATCAAATAATGACAACTTTTGCACACAAATTACACAGAAATTGCACTTTTATAATTTGCGAAAAGAAGCATATAATATTGGATTTTTTTCCAACAAACGAAGATTCCTAAGAAGGAAAGAATTAGTGGCTTTAGTATTACCATTAAAGAAGAAAGAAATTAAATTAAAAATAAAAATAAAATCAAAATAATGCAGTTTTCTAAGGAAGAATCAATTAGTGGCATTGGTACTACCGTTCAAGGAGACATAAATGAAACAAAAAATAAAAAAATAAAGTTTCCTAAGAAGAATGAATTAGTGGCACTTGGTATTACCCTTTAAGAAAAAAGAAAATGGTAAAAGTAAACATATACTGACAAAATTTGCGCACATTTTACAGATAACTGCTTTTTTCTATATGGAAGAATAAACATGTCATAGTGAATTTAAGAAGAAAAAGGAATTTTCGTAAGAAATAATTAATTAGTGTAATTGATATTATGATTAAAGAAGAAATAAAATTAAAATAAAACAAAATCGAAATAATGAAGTTTGCTAAGAAAAAATAAATTAGTGACTTTGGTATTAACCTTTAAGAAGAAAGACCATGTAAAATAATAAAATGAATAATGAAAAACTATGCCCACAACATACACAAAAAATTCTTCCTTTTCATAATATGCAAGGATAAGCATATAATAGTGTAATTTCAAAAAATAACCTTTTTCTAAGAAGGATGAATTATATGCATTCGTATTACCATTAAATAAGAAATAAAATTAAATCAAACCAAAATAAAAATAAAAATAATGAAGGTTCCTAAAATGAATGAATTAGTCGCTTTGGTATTACCCTTTAAGAAGAAAGAAAATGAAACTACAAAATAATCAAAATAATTTTTTTCATAAAGAATGAATTAGTGCCAAGAGGTAAAAACAAAAACAAAATCAAAATAATGAAGATTTCTAAGAAAGATTGAGTTAGGGCCTGTTCGGCAACTGCCCAGCTCCTGGCTTCTCTGAATCAGCGGGCGAAGCTGGGCCGAACAGGTCAGCTCCCAGAAGCTAGCTTCCCAGATCTAAGGCGGATCGTAGTACAAAAACTGGGAGCGAGTGTTTCGTGGATCCCAGAAATCGCAGAAGCTGGAGTTCGAGTTATTTACCGTGAGATGCCACCGCCAAGTGAAAGAAAACGCTTCGTGCAAGGAAGAATAGAACGCAGCACATACCTTCGCTCCCTAACAGACCAGAATCTAGCTTAATGGGCCAGCCGGCTACCAGCCCAAGACTAGCGAACTGGGATCTAGGAATTCTGTTGCCGAACGGTTTTTCCAATCCACTATTTTCGTCCGGAAGCTGGAGGTGAGATCGAGAAGCCGGATTTGAGGATTTCCGGGAGCTGGGCAGTTGCCGAACAGGCCCTTAGTGGCTTTGATATTACTGTTTACGATGAAAGAAAATGAAATAAAAACTAAAGGAAAATTAAAAAATGAAGGTTTGAAGAAATAATGAATTAGTGGCTTTGGTATTGCCTTTTAAGAAGAAGAAAATAAAAAAATAAAATAACAAGGTTTTTTAAGAAAAATACGATTTAGTGCCACTGATATTACCCTTTAAGAAGAAAGAAAAATAATCTAAAACAAAAATCAAATTACTAACATTTTCTAAGAAAGAATGAATTAGTGGCATTGCTATTACCCTTTAAGAAATAAATAAAATCTAAAATGCTATCATAGAAACTCCACACTGTAGACAAAAATTGAGGTTTTTTAGTATAGAATTTTTGCAAAAAATAAGTTTCCAACGAAAGAATTAATTAGCAGCATTGATATCACCTTAATGAAAAAAGGAAAATGAAATAGAACTAAAAATTTAAATAATAAATTGTTATAAGAAAGAATTGGTTAGTAGCATTGGTATTACCACTTAAGAAACATGCACAGAACTTTGCACTGAAATTGCACTTAATACGCAAAGATTAATCATATAATAGTGCAATTCTGACACATATTCTATACTATTTGTGTGCATATATTTACACTCGCCCAACATCACAAAAATATCCACAAAATAATAAAAACATGTAATAGAGGAAAATAAAAAAGAAAAGAAAAAACAGATTAAAAACATAAAAAACAAAGGGAGAAAGGAGAAGGCTACGTCGTACCTAGTAATCGGCTTTGACCCGTTAAGGAATTGACTGACCCAAATATGTGGTTAGTCGTTTCTCAAAAAAAAAACATGTGGCCAATCAATTTAACACAGCCCAAACACCTCAGAGAACCAACTAGAAAAAAAACTAACAGCACGAATCGCAAAGCAATATCAAGGGCACACAAAATCGACTGGCCCAAAATAAAGTTTCGGGTAACTTTCATGTCGCTGCGTGCTTGCACACGGTGAGAACCTTTTCAGTCCTTTACCAGATGTGCGTGTGGAAAATATCTATACCGCTCATGGTCACGGGTGCATTCGAGTTGTGCGATATCGATCTCAGTGCGGCGCGCACACCATGCACGAGAAGCTAGACGTGCGATCCCTCTTGCTACCATTGTTCTTTGTTCTGTTCCCGTTCTTTTTTAAATTGGGTAGATCCGTAGGTCTTTTTGGCCTTCAATTTTGTTCGTGTATTGCAGGGGCACTTTAGACAAACAAGTACTGCATTGCACGCACAGCAGAGCAGAGATTGTGCTGGTTTCTAAATAAAAGTACTACTCTGGTACGTACTTGGTAGGGGTCCGTCTGGACTGAAGCGTGGCTGTACTTACTGGTCACAGCGTAATAAGTTCTTGTCTATACAAGTCTTCCGTCCAAGTAGGGAAATATATACATTCGCAAAAATAAATGTGGGGAAATATTATATAGGGTCTTCGTCGTAGCATTACATGGAATCTTCAAAGTTACAAATCTGGACGGATGTTTGAATGTGCAGGCCAATAATGTGTTCAAGACAAACAGGGCAATGTCATTTGAAAATCTGTAGGGGGCGAAGAGGAATTGAGATGTTCAGGTTGCACAGGAAACATGGCAGCACTGATACACATATACACTCATGTGATGAATGAGGATTGCTTTTGTGCCGCAAAGAAAGGATTGGCAAATCAGCATGTAATTCAGTTGGGATCCTAAACTTATCAGCAGTAAAACATGACACGCTTCACGTTTTCCTTGAGGTCGGGCAGAGGCTTAACAGCGACATTCCCTGCAGCTCTACTACCGCCGCGTGCACCAGCAGGGGCACGGCTTGTCGTGGCGCCGCTCGGGACCGAGCCACCGTCGGAGGTATCCGGTTCCATGTAGAACCGAGCTCGAAAAGCGGCGAGGTGAGCATAGTATGCCGGAGGCACTGCACATGAAACCAGCACAGTGAGAATAATGCTATACAAGAAAGTCGATGATTTTCAACATCAACTAGATCTAGCCGAATGGAGGTTTTGATGCATCCGTTGCTTACCAATCGATACAGAACGGGTGCACCTTGCGTAGCTGCAAACAATAGGGGCAATTAACGGTCAAGTTTACTGATCATAAGCATAAAAATCGGAACAGGATTAGCGTGACGGTAACTTACGTGTAGCACAAGTTGTTCGTGAGAGTCTGCAAACCGTCCGCGGTAAAATTGTTCTCATCCCAAAGGACATGGTAATGCGCAGGGCGGCTTGTTCCCTGAAAGTAATGTAATGTAAGGTTAGATCAAGTCCATCCCATCAAGTGAAGAATGCTCTCATTTCTACCTGTACAGGAAAACTGACCTGAATACCAGCATGGCTACAAAGGTAGAAATCAAACTCGGTAGGATGGCATATCTTTGAATCAACCACGGTACCTAATAAAACAAGATATAAGATGGTAACTAAAAGTGGACTCTGAGTTCAGTAATTGAGCTTTCATGCATAGAGTAGAGAAGCTACACAAAGAAAGTAAACTCACTAACAAGGCAAACAACTCACCAGGCAGTATGTTTCCACTTTTTGTATCAACACTTCGCTGATCGTTGTGGTTATTAGCAAATAGCCGTGTATGATGGCGCTTCTGGACCACCACAAAGGTAACAGGTGGCTGATAATTGGACTCCAAGGATGCGCACGCCTAGGTTTGTTAAACAACAAAAATGTTCAGACTCCATGCAGATCTCATGCGAGAATATTTAGAGAAAACACAACCTCACCTTTCTAATCGCATCAAGCTCATACAACAGAACCTGATAGAACTGTCCTTCGCTAACACCATCCCTGAAAAAAAAATGTGTGAGGTTCTATACAATAACGCCAATCGGACATGCTTAAATTAAGATAGTACCTATAGAATATGATCCTTTGGGGCTTCTGTCCAGTTGATCTATGGAAGGAAAGGAGAAGTTCTCTGCATAGTCAATAGAACATGTATATTCAGGTATTGAGGTGCAAGTGAACAAGATTCAGCTCTTAACTCCTAGCGACGGGCATTAATATCTATATATCCTCTGTGTGTTAAATTTGTAAAGTATTACACGCATACCATTCAAACAATATTCAGGTATTACAAGTGAACAAGATCATACCTAACCATTCCACCATTTACAGTCCCTTTCTGAGGATCTTGCCATACTTTAAAAAGATCTTGTATCAACTCCTGGCGACGGGTTTGTGCACTCACCAATCCAGCATACTTGGTGACCTCGGGCCAATCTTGAGAAGCAACAACCTGCATGAGCATAAAATCATTTACAAATCATCGGATGCCCAGCATGACGAGAACATGACAACAGTAAAACTGAAAAGCGGATGCTTGGCATAGAAAGAGCAAACTTTCGCCCAGAATATAAGTTTTACTACAAAATAATGCATGCATAATGATTTAAGATTAACATGTTATGCACCTACAGCTGCGATGGAAGGGCTAGAATCTTCTCCAGGATGAGGATGGGTAACATCAGCACCAAATATAATGGTTGGTCTGTCACTAACAAGGGGAATTCTCCTTGACAAAGCATCAACAAGTACAGTATTTCTCCCTCCCACCTAAAGAGTAAAGGAATGTGAACATCAGGTATAGAAGGAAAATAACTACAAAGACCAGGTTGGTAGTAGACAGAAGCCACAGAACAGGACAAACCTTAACATTGATTTTAAGGGCGACGTTTGCGAGATACTGTGGTGTCGTCTTTTTAACATGTTTCGTGAGACAGCATTGAGAGATCAATCCAAGATTTGTCTCGCATATTCTTTTAAGATTACCTGAGGGAATGATAAGAACAACACAGCGTCAAAAATTGATAAGAATAATAGTTAGTATTTTGATTACATAATATACTAGTTATCTTTTAATTAGAAGGCGTACCATAAAGAGAACCATTAATGTCAGGTAAAATTGCAATGAGCAGGTCAAGTTCCCTGCCCAGTGGTTTCAGAGCACTCATAGCATCTTGATAGTGTGCCTTGAGTGCTCTTTCTACATGATCAGGTCTCGTACATAAAGGAGGAAGCAGAGGTTCCTTTGAGAAGTCCTGTGGTGAGAGGAATGAAGCATATGAGAAAGAGGACATTAAGACAACTGAATGTAAATGAACACGTTGAGAAAGAGATGTCTGGAGACAGTGTTTAGATAATATAGGCCTACCATTCCAGATATTTCGCACATGTCAGCCAGCTGACGACAGAAACTCCTCGCTGCACTATCTTGGACATTCCGAGCAAAGTTAATGCATATCCACTCCTTAACTCTCCCACCATTGACCATTTTCTGCAGCCAAATATTGGAAGCATAAAATTGCATAGCATTTTGAAACAAATATTGGAAGAGATACACAGGAATACCGTTTATAATGAAGGATTTAAGAGCATACCTTATTCCTCATATTCCACTGGCCAATTCTTGGCAAGACATCCTTCTCTCTGCCACTATCGTGGTACTTAAGCTAATAGATAAAAAAACAGTAATCAGACATCCAGGGAAAGGTGTAACATATAAAATAGTGAGTTCAAAGATGTCAACCATGTGTTGAAACATCTAACTTACTCTAGGGGAGGTAGGACATGTGTTGAAACATTTAACTTACTCTAGGGGGAGGTAGGACTCGAGCTTCAACTGATGCAAGACGTTCATCAATCCTTATACCAAACTCCCGCGCATATGGATCCTCATGGTATGCATTGTGATTCACCGTCTGGTAACCAGAACAAAACGAGAAACAGGTTCAACATGGAAGCCATTCTTGTTGTAGGAAGAGAATAGAACTGACTATGATTATATGCAAGAAAAATGATAAATACATGGCCATTTGTAGTGCTATACCACAAGGAGCAATTGACTACCATCAAGCCACCTTAACCAGATTCTAGTTGCAATAGACATGTTCTCAAATATCACTACCAAGTCCAAATTAGCGTAAGAAAAAGGAAAACAGGTCCAGTAGAGTAGATAAATAAATAATAGGAAATTGGACGAGCTTATATACATAGCTGAAAGCATGTGTGGCTAAACCCAGAAACTGACCATGGCTAAAAATAACAAAGAAATCCACATAATACTACAGTGAAACAGAAATAAATCAGTTTAAAATAGTTCACACCACAAGATGCGGCAAAGTTACCTGCAAAATGTCCAGCTCCCGCTGTTGGGGATGCTGGCAGGTCATTTTAAGAAGAGCGGTTATCTGCTTCTCATTCAGTCGTTTCGAGTAACGCTGTCCCTCGACAATCTTACATACCTTCAAGGTAAAAGGAGGCAGCATATGACATGAAATAGATGTTTCTATAACTCTTTAACTCTACGTAGCATGCCAAAAGTTTTTACTATTTAATATGTTAGAAAAGTATGACATGAGATAATACAGGTTGTTTAGGATACCAACCTCCATCGGAAGAAAATTTGGTCTCTGTTGGTTACCCACTTGCAAGCAAGGCAAAGTGGTGTGCTGAATGTTAAATCCATAAGTCTCCTGAAAGTACTTCAATACTGTCTTAACAGTACCATGGTCATCTATAGGGAAACTGTCACATGCCAAACCAAGGAAGCGCAACAATCAAACTAACACTGCAATGGACATAATAGAGGCTTCACATCTAGGTAAGGGAACTACATACGTTAATTCTCTTGTTGCTTGTGAGGTAAGGCCAAATATACGATACTTTCTGCGCATATTGCCTCTATGTGTGACCTCAACCTTTACACCTCGTAGAGCCTTCTTGATCTGACCGGTGAAAAGGAAGGAAGCTTGTCAAGTAAAGAGTGAGCACAGAGCTACGAATTAAGCATGTACTTGAAAACAGAGTAAAACATAAAACAATGTGATAGTCGATAGAATAACCTTACCTTCACACGGTCAGCATCTGATAATGGTCTGACTGAGACGTTTCTGTTCAAGAGTTGTGCGACGAAATCAATCACAGGAAGAGGCTCAATGAACGCTGTAGATGACATATCTGCAAGCGAAAATGTCAAGCTATTTCAAGATGCTAGAGAAGACCAGAATCAATTTAAAGAATCAATTTAATGACTTCTCACACTATATGATTCATATCTTAGGACTGGGACTGGACTGAACATGGAAAAAGTTTTATCCACCAAGCATGGCAAGTGACAAAAACATCTAAACATAAATACGACATCTAAGATCCAAGGTTTCCAAAAAATAAACACTCTCCTAATATTGGTTGCCATTTACCATGACACTCAAATATGATATTGTGTTTTTTCAACCATTAATCTGCAAAACTGTAGAACAGAGATGCTATTAAATTTGTAGGAGATTATAAGGATATGGCCATATGGGCACCGGGCACGGACGGAGAGGGCAGTACAATTGCAGACAATTTTTTGATATTGATGGCTCCTATATTTTTTCTCTCCACATTATTAATCTATTGGAACAAACACGGCTGATGTATCTGTAATTTATGAACTTTACATACATTTGTTCACTAGCTACTAATCATCCTAGAAGCAAGAGGCCAGAGTAGGGAAATCTTAGCGGATGGAAATTTTAAACTTCGTTGTAGTAAAAGCTATATGTACCAATAGCCATCCCCTTAAGTTATAGTAATTCACAAGAAGCAAGCAATAGTTATCAGTAGCTAACTATTTCATCTACTATGAGTTATACTGATAGGAAAGTATTCTTAAAATGGTCATTATTCTAAAGTGAAAACAATGATTGTTCTTCTAATAGTGGTACTACGGATTGTGAAGATAAAGAGTTGGGATCTAACCAATATTCAGTGAAAGTCCCATCTGTGTGGGCCGTATGCTCTGGTAAAAACCACGCCAACTTTCCAAGCCATCACCAAGTTGCTGGCGCCTCCCTAAGTTTGGTGAATAAAATGACCTGGCAACTGGGGAATACCTAAACATGAAAAGTGAAGAAATGTTCAACAGCTGTGCAAAAAGAATAATATCATACATCCACATGGGGGAAAAGATTACCTTGCAGTAGGTAATTCACGTAGAACAATGTCAAGCACTTGAATAGCTTCTTGAGGAGCATCTGGTTGCTTCCCAGCTAGAAACATAGCTAAATGATGGAGATCGGCACGCGCGGCGAATTTGATGACGACCGTAAAATGTTTTTCGCGCCTTAAGATAAGGACATATATCAGCAAGGAACATAAACTGTATCAGCTCACGGATATGTCCAGAATAGCAAACCTTTGTGCAACTTGCGCACCACCAAGTTTATCATCCTCGTCCTGCAGAACAATATTAAAGGTCCTAGAAGTAAATGGCAATGGTCCAGCAGTATATAGGCTCTTCCTTCCATCATAGGCAGGAAGGCGACCACCCAAAAGAGAATGCCTGTAGAGTGTTACAAGTTGTCCTATGATAGCACGATTGACGCCACGGGAAGGAATGTCTGGAGTTATAGACACCTGATGTGATATCAAATGAAACTCATGAGAGGAACATATTATATGTTCAAGAAGTTCTGTGAGAATGAGGCCTTACATCATACTGGTGAAGATCTTTATCAGGCAATTCAGCAGAGAAATGATTTGCTTTCACGATGCACCTACTGCCAAATGTACCCTTGCCAGGCCGCACTGGAAATCTTACTGATTTAGTCGACGATGGCGCTGATTGGATACCCTGTCTAGAGGAACTTTGACCCGGGATATCAAGTTGCTGAAACTGTAACTGGACTTGTCCGGTGTTCATCTCAACATGTAGTGAGGATGAGCCAGTTTCGGGTGGTGAAGGTGTAAGCACCGGAACTTGGTTCTGGATTTGTGGAGCTTGGTGCAGTTCGGGAAGTGTTACTGATGGTGTAGCAGGAACTCCGCGTCCATGACTTCCACTCCTATGCCCGTCATGGTATGGTTGTGGTGTTCCTCTTTGGCGTGGGGCACCATGGCCATAATACTCACGTGCTTGATACTTAACAGGACCACCAAATGGATGATGTGATGCTGGATCCTGAAAATGTCCACCACATCTCAGGTGTTGTCCACCACCACGACCACCTTGTTGAGAATATTGAGTATTGGCATGTAGCCGATCGCCACCTCCATGCTGTTGATCTCTCTCAACCCGCTGCGATGGATCCTGACCAGGGGTTCTTGGAGCATTGCGAGTTTCAGTACTTCCCCGCGCGCTAGGGGGGGTATATCTTTTATTTTTCACCATAGTTAAAGCTGCAAGGTGAAGCAAATAGTTAAGATGAAGACTAAACAATAACCAGAAGGCATAGAAAGATGAAGACTAAAGAGTATCAAGACAGATAACACAATGACCAAGCACAAACTAGAATAAAGAGAATGGGAAATGATTAGCATTTTGCGTAGAACTGAAGAGCACTACATGTGCTAAATATTATGGCCTAAACTGGAAGACAGGATTTGCAATTCTTTTCAGGAAGCAGCGGGCAGAGTAACATATTCTTTATCAAAAGGAAAAACAAACTGAATCTTGTTGTCCAAAGCGAAACTAACAAAAAGAAACTTGTTTATATGTCATCAAACAGTGTCCACTTAAATCATACGCTACTAGAAATCCCTCAATTGCTTATGTTCCACTCAGCCACCAACTTCCTCGTTATTTCCATCATAGTTCACTTTGTTAAAGTCCTCTGATCCCTCAAAAAAAAGTTGAAGTCCTCAGTTAATTGGATCAGTGTCCCCTTTTCCCCTCAGTGGTGCATAAACAAGTTTAGTGTTGGTACTTCGTGGCATCGTACTGCTGCTGCCGTGTATCCTAATGCATTGACTTGCTCCTGCTGCTGTGTGCAAGCAGTGCTTGGTTGCAATTATTCATGGAACTTTGTTTACAATTTGAACATGGCAACTGCAAAACTCTTGCATTTTTCTACGGAAACATGAATGCATTTTGTTTTCAACATGAAACCACCATGGAAACACAAAAATTTGCACATGGCAACACAAACAAAACTGAGTATAATCACAGCCACATGACATTTTAACATGTGAGTTCAACATGAAAATTTACCATTTTCAGTACCAACATGGCAAATCTAAAAAATAAATTCTAGGATACTCATATCTGAACTTTCACATGAATAATTGCATGCGGCACTTTATTGAAGTCACAGTTAAGATACAAGTCCATAACATGGCTTATTCAACCGTGACAATGAACGAAATTCATTCTGCAGGTATGGAAAGGAAAAAAAAATCTTGCCGTGGCGGAGTCGCTGGGCGTTGGCCTTGCTGTTGAGGTCGGGGGGCACGCTCTCGCTGTCATGGCGGCCAAGCGCGGCCTTGATGGACAAGGCGTGAAGGCTGACGGCATGGGGTAGGGCAACGTGGAGCGGCGCCAATCATTCCCCCAGCCGTCAAGGGAAGAAGACGAGTCGCTGGAGCGGCCATCATGGTCTCTAGGGTTTGGGGGAGATGGGGCCGCCTGGAGGAGGCTCACCGGTCGCGCTGGCTGGGGTAGGAGCCGCCATGGCGGTGTGCACGGGCGGCAGACCGCAGAGGGGGGAATTTTGGAGATTGTTGACTAGCCGACTGATTTTTTTCTTTTTTCGGTCCGTTGGATTGACCACCGCTATCCGGAAAAAGCCTATACACATGGATCCGGCTTGCCTGCTTCCTCCCCATGCTCTCATCTGTGCTTCCATTTCATTCTACGGTTGTCTTTTTTCCTTTTTTCTTTCTAATTTAATCATCTCCACCCTGATTTTAAGGGGGTGGGGCAGGGCCTTATTTTATTCCAATCAAATCATGCCACGTATGCGGGAGCATGGATGGGCACACACGCGGGGAGCAGGCAAGTCTCGTCCTATACACATAGGTATAGCAGTAGCGCTGGTTAAAATAGGGCGCTACTGCTAATTTATAGTAGCGTGTTCATTCAAAGCACGCTATAGCTCAAACGTTAGCAGTAGCGCATGTTCGGAAACAAGCGTTACCACTATAATTTTCACGGCTTAGCCGATAGGCTACACATAGTAGTAGCGATCCAACCGCGCTACCGCTACTTCCTTTGTAGCAACGCGTTTTTTTCTAAACTCGCTACTGCTAAAGGATATAAAATTAAATGGAAAGCAAATAGAAAGGTAATTGAAAATGAAAGAAATGAAATAAGGTGAAAGGAAAAAAATGTGAAGAAAAATAAATGAAAAAAAAGGAGTAGCAGTAGAGTGTATATCAGAACGCGTTGTAGCTAACGTAGCAGTAGCGCGCTTTCTAGAAATCATTATTCAGAATTAACCACCCGCCGGCTCAAATTTTGGCTAAGTCCTCCATCCCCCCCCCCC